CAATATAGGAATAAGTGATACTTTATTTGAATTAAATATCTATGGCTATAAATTAATCAATTACCTCTTATTTTCTTGTAATTAGACTGAATTAGACAGTAGTTAAATTTCAAATAATTTTTATTTATTCATCCATATGTTTATATCAACTAGTATACTAGCCAAAAATGCAGGATCTGATTAATATGTAATTAATTAAAGTCAATTTATTAAAATATTAGATATATCCGACAGTTTCCTTTACCAAACAAAAAGACGTTTGTTTTAACTGTATTTTTGAAATACCTGGTATTATCATGTTGTTTGACATGTTTATTTATAAATTCATACATCTTACTTATTTATTTGTTGCTCTTCACCATATTTTATCCTTATGTGTATTGAAATAAATATGTATCTATACTGTCATATCCCAACATCTATGACTTAGAATTTGAGACAGGCTTCCCTGAACAGTTTCCAGTTATTTGTTTTTTGTTTGTTTGTTTTTGCTTTTCTTGTTATTTTCTTGTTGTTGTTTATTTTTGTTTTGTGTGCCGATTTTATAGCCGATATTTATGACCATATTCCCAATTGAAAATACATGTAAATGTCTTTCTTGTCAAAAATTAACACAGTTTTGCAAGAGATTTTTATATTGTTCTAAGATGTTTGTGATGTTTTCATCCATAAAGATATTTTCTTACTTGAGTTTAGTATAGGTAACAATGATAAATTTAAATTTCCAATTTTGAGGGCAAATAACCTGCCATTACAATTAACAATCCTATGGGTATGATAAAATAGGTCCATTTACCCACACAGATTATCAATAAATGTTTAACTTTATTAAGCTTCTTCAATTAGTATGATAAACAACACAGTAAATGACATTTATGTGACAATATACTTCAGGTATAAGCCGTGGTCCCTCACAAAAAATAATTCTTACTTGACTCTCTTCAAATGTAAGAATTGCAAAGTTCTGTAGACTTAATATATTGCTCAACAGACCTAGGATAATTATACAAGGAACAAAAACTTGACGGAAAAACTTCTGCTAGCTGCCAGTTGTGCTTATAGCTACTGCCAGTCACAAAAATTAAAAACACCTTGCAAAACCTTGGTGGCCCTGAAATCGCTCACATGAATATAACACTCTCCATTAAATGGAAACAAGTAATATTGTAATCTATAAAAAGCATTTAAAAAAACTTTAATCTAAAACTGAAATCACAAAGTTCATATTTGTATGTGTAAAAACAGTACTGGTTGCTATTGCTAAGGGAAAACAATGTGTATACATATATATAAGAAAAATCAATTACCCTCCAGGGGCAGGGACAATTTTCACCCTGAAATCCAAAATATCATGCTAAATATCTAAGCGTTAGCTCTTTGTTTTTTTTTAAGATTTATTTTTGTCTTTACTATAGACATATAAGGAAAATCAATGACCATCGGGGCGGGACACCAGATTAGAAGATGTGTCATGCTTAATATCTAAGCTCTAGCTCTTTGGGTTTTTCAAAAGTAGATTTTTTTAAAGTTATTACTATATACATATAAGAATATATCCATGACGCCCGGACAGAGCCATTTCTGATCCAGAGCTTTTTTTTAACAAACTTGGTAGACACTCACTGGAAGATGTTTTATGCCAAAAATCTAAGCTCTAGCTCTTATGAATTTTTTAAAAGAAGATATTTTAAGTCTTTTTCTTTTGGTTTCTAAAGGTCAACTAGTCATTACCAAGAACTTACACAAGATAATGACAATTCTTAAGTTTTAAAGACTTACGGTTTTATTCCCAATCAGAAAATTTTCTGTACGAAATCTGCTGTACTCATAGTATTATTTTTACAATCACTCTTAAATTTGGTTTGCATTTCATGGCCTTGCAACTACATAATTAGGCAAAGAAGCAAACGCTTGTTTTGGTTGAGTCTTTCATGTTTTTGTTCAGTTGTCATACACAAATTTACAATTTATATGCATTTATTATTTTGCAATGATTTTTATTATTTTCAATGCTTCTGGGATTGATTTATCAATTAATTTGTAAACAAGATATGTTTGTTAAATGTGTACAATGGTTGTGAGCAGCAATTTTATGACAAAGTTATAACAAATCTTAACAAATAATATACCCGGTATGCATACATTTTATGAATCATGTAGACCTCCTTAATGAAAGCCATTTTGTAATATTACAAATGTATATTAGATCTTGAAATGTGAATACAAAAATTAATTTTAGTTCAATAAAAATATCACCAAGGCAACTTGAGTTGTTGAGTTATTGATCGCAAACCGTTTTAACGTACAAGGTCAATGTGATTTTGACCTTTACACCATTATAGGGGTTATTTACTGACCAAGAGCAATGCACCAATCAAGTTATTGATCGGAAACCATTTTTACCAACAAGGTCAATATGACCTTGACATTTGACTCCTTGACCCCAAAATCAATAGGTGTCATCTACTAGCCAAGACCAATGCAACTAAGCAGTTTGAGGGCCAAGGGCCCATGGGTTGTCAAATTATTGATCGGAAACCGTTTTTACCAACAAAGTCAATGTGACATTGACAATTTACCCATTGATCCAAAAATCAATAAGGGTCATCTACTGACCAAGACAAATGCACCTTTGCAGTTTGAGGGCTAAGGCCCATGGGTTGTCAAGTTATTGATAGGGAACCGTTTTTACCTACAAAGTCAACGTGACCTTGAAATTTGACCCCAAGATTAATAGGGGTCATCTACTAGCCAAGACCAATGCAGTTCGAGAGCAAAGGGCCCATGTGTTGGCAAGTTATTGAACGAAAATCGTTTTTAACCAACAAAGTCAATGTGAACTTCACCATTGATCCCTTGACCCCGAAATCAATAGGGTCAACTACTGGCCAAGACCAATACACCTATGCAGTTTGAGGACCGAAGGCCCATGGGTTGTCAAGTTATTGATAGGAAACCGTTTTAGTTTCAAAGTCAATGTGACCTTGACCATTGACCCCTTGACCCCAAGATCAATAGGGGTCATCTACTGGCCAATACTAATGCACCTATGCAGTTTGAGAGCCAAGGGCCCATGTGTTGTCAAGTTATTGAACAGGAATCGTTTTTACAATGTACATTCATTGTGTTTTGAATATGTATTTTGTTTGAATGTACATTGTTTTTTGTTGTTTTTTTTTTGTTGTTGTTGTTGTTTTCATGTATATATTATGCATTTTGTGTTTTCATAAAATTTCACTGTATAACCATGATGTAAATTATGTATATTTTATGTATATTTATGTTTTGAGGCCACATGGAAGATTGGGTAACCATTGGGTAACTGTAGCCTCAGTAAATAAAGACTTTACTTACTTACTTACTTACTTACTTACTTTACCCACAAAGTCAATGGTATGTTGACCTTTGACCACTTAACCCCAAAATCAATAGACATTATCTACTGGCCAAAAGCAATGCACTATGCAGTTTCAGGGCCAAGGGCCCATGGGTTGTCAAGTTATTGATCGGAAACCAATTTCACCTATAAGGTCAATCTGACCTTGACCTTTGACCCAAAAATTAATAGGGTCATCTACTAGCCAAGACCAATCCCCAAGTTTGAAGTTCATAGGCCCAAGCGTTCTTTACTTATTGATTGGCATACGTTTTTACCTATATTTACCTTCGAACCCTCTCTCCCAAAATCATTAGGGGTCATCTACTGGTACTGAACAAACCTTTGCTAAGTTTGAAGTTCCTAGTCCTTAGCATTATTTATTTATTGATCAGAAACCATTTTAACTACAAGGTCAATATGACCTTTAACCTCTGACCCTTAAATTTCGGTCATCTACTGGTATTGAACAAACTCAATATCAAGTTTAAAGTTCCTATGCCTTAGCGTTCTTTAGTTATTGATTGGAAACTTTTTAGGTAAAAAGTCCATATGACGTTGACCTTTGACCCCAAAATTAATAGGGGTCATATAATTGCCAAGACCAATTCACATATCAAGTTTGAAGTTCCTAGGCCTAAGCGTTCTTTATTTATTACTAGTAATCGGAAACCGTTTTTACCTACAAGGTAAATATGACCCTGACCTTTGAGCCCTTGACCCAAAAATCAAAGGATCATGCACTTAAATTGTCATGAACAATCCCCAAAACAAGTTTGAAGTTCCTAGGCCTAATCGTTTTTTAGTTATTGATAGGAAACCATGACTGCCGTTAACAGTATCACGTGATTATCCCAAGCACCACTGCGACTTAGCACGGGAATTATGAATATAGCTATATAACCTGGGCGTGTCCCATAGGATAGCAAATATCTTTTTATATCTATTCTATTGTAAAAAATATTTACAAAACGTATTTTCTTGGTTTCATTGGATCAATCAATAACATCAATAACAAATAATGATATTTTTGTTTATAAATAATCATTTCTAAAATCTATGACTACAATTTTCAATGAAATTCTACCTTTAATGTAAAAGAAAAGTTTTTAATATCCTGCAAGATAAAAACAACAACAAACAAGAGCTGTCAGTAGGACAGCAACGCTCGACTATTTTTAGTGCTTGATAGTAAAAAAAATGCTTGATACAGTTACCTCCTCCTGTTTACAGGTTTGGGTCATGATGGTGAACAAGTGTGCAAAGTTTCAAAGCCATATGTCAATGGACTTTGAAAATATTTGAACTATTACAAAAACTTTAACATAAATTCTAAGTCGAAAAACGGGCATAATTCTGTCAAAATGCTTGATAGAGTTACCTCCTCCTGTTTACCAAAAACTTTAACATAAATTCTAAGTCGAAAAACGGGCATAATTCTGTCAAAATGCTTGATAGAGTTACCTCCTCCTGTCTACAGGTTGGGGTCATGATGGTGAACAAGTGTGCAAAGTTTCAAAGCCATATGTCAATGGACTTTGAAAATATTTGAACTATTACAAAAACTTTAAAAAAGTGGTTACGCCGACGCGGACGCTCGGGTGACTGCAATAGCTCTACAAAAGCCGGTTCAACCGGGTGATGCTCCCCAAATAGGATTTGGACACAGAAAAGTATACCTTTTGTAGTTTCAGAGTTATGTCCCGGACAAAGTTCAAAGAGCAATAATAACAAAATTAGGCATGGCAGAGTTATGGTTCTTTTTCACTGCACATCTACCCAATGAGATCTATCCACCTACAAAGTGTAAAAATGAACAAAGGGCAATATTTCCAAAACTAGACAAGGCAAAGTTATGGTTCTTTGGCACTGCACTTCTACCAAATGAGATCAATCTACTTACAAAGTTTCATGTTTATATTTTTTATAGTTTCAGAGTTATGTCCCGGGCAATGTTCAAAGTGTAAAAATGAACAAAGGGCAATAACTTTAAAATTAGGCAAGGCAGAGTTACGGTTCTTTTGCACTGCACTTCTGCCCAATGAAATCTTTATACCTACAAAGTCTTGCTCATATCTATTATACTTTCAGAGCTATGTCCTGGACAATGTTCAAAATGTAAAAATGAACAAAGGGCACTTACTCCAAAATTAGACAAGGCAGAGTTACGTTTTTTTTGCACTGCACTTCTTTTTGATGAGATCTTTCTATCTACAAAGTTTCTTGTTGATAACTCTTATGGTTTCGAGCTATGTTTCGGACAAAGTTCAAAGTGAAAAAAAAAGAACAAAGGGCAATAACTCCAAAATTTGTCAAGGCAGAGTTACGGTTATTTTTTATAGCACTTCTACCAAATGTGATTTATCAACCTACAAAGTTTCATGTTGATATCTCTTATAATTTTAGAGTTGTGTTCCGGACAATGTTCAAAGTGTAAAAATGAACAAAGGGCAATAACTCCAAAATTTGTCAAGGCAGAGTTACGGTTATTTTTTATAGCACTTCTACCAAAAGTGATTTATCAACCTACAAAGTTTCATGTTGATATCTCTTAAAATTTTAGAGTTGTGTTCCAGACAATGTTCAAAGCCTAAAAATGAACAAAGGGCAATAACTCCAAAACTTGGCAAGGCAGAGTTATGGTTCTTTTGCACTGTACTTCTAACCAATGAGATCTATCTACCAACAAAGTTTCATGTTTATATTTCTTATAGTTTTAGTTATGTCCCAGACAAAGTTCAAAGTGTAAAAATGAACAAAGGACACTATCTCCAAAATTAGGCAAGGCAGAGTTATAGTTCTTGTGCACTGTGCATTTACACAATGAGACCTATCTACCTACAAAGTTTCAAGCTGATACCTTTTGTTGTTTCAGAGATATGTTCCGGACAAAAAGCGGACAGACGGACAAAGCAGCGACAACAAATGTATATGCTCACCTTTCCGAGAGCATTCAAACATAGACAGATTGTGTCAATGTTAGCTATGTTTTTAATAAACTGGTGACCTGATTTATAAGTTCATAGAACAAAGATATTTATGCGGGAAAATGAGGTTGTATTATTTATATTTTCATTTCTGTTGCTTTGCACTATTTTCATATGTTCTGTTCAGTGGAAGATGTGTAATTTGCGAGTTTGTTTTAAAGCAGTAAATTGGCTGTGCTTTTTTTTATATATATATTTATATATTGATTTCCTTGATTATGTTTACAAATATAAAATATCTGTTGACATGTTATTCATTTAATATAACATCTTTCATACATCAAGCATAAAAAGTTTTTACAGAAGTTAGTATGCAATATACTTATATTACATACGAATGTATGTACTATTTTCCTTGTTACTATACAGGCCAAATTCTAGGTGATGATATGGGCACACACTCCTGCCTGGTTTTCAAATACTCTAGAAGAATTTTATGTCTTCAGGGTTGAAACCAAATTTAACATGTCAAAGTATCTTGATGAACATGTATAAGGTCATTGTTTTGTTAAGGGTATAATCAAAGTTGATATTGCTGGTATGATCGATAGCTTGGATCATATCATTTGAAAAAAATGTTTCGCAGGAATACAAATTATAGCTTGTTCATTTCTTTCTTACTGTCCTGCTTTTTCACGATTTGTCGTACCTTTTATGTCCTTGCATTTATAAATACAGATAGGAGTGTGGCGATATGAATCTTTGCAGCATTGTTTCTTCCCCTTAGATTAAGTGACATCAAGTAACACTGTAACGCGTCTCCAGCTCTACCTTCTTGTTCCATACACTTTCCGAGAATATTTAGGGCTGTTTCCCGATGTCCAAGGTTTGGTTCCTCTTTTATGGTTCGGATAAGTTTAAATAGAGCAGCTTGTTTTTCATCATGTCTCCCAAGATGGTTGTTAATTTTGTATTGTAGAAAGTAGAGGTAAGGGAGGGAATCCACCACAGCAAAATCCATCCAATCGTTGTCATTTCTAGTGCGAACCATTCTGTCCTCTTGTGTAGATCTAAACATTTCATATCTGAGTTCAGCTGGTACACAGTGAATTTCACATGGCAGAAATGTAACACATGATGCTGTTGTATATCGTATGACTTCTTCATTATGATTGTCACATAATTCAAAGAATCCTTGTCTTGGTAGTTCCTTCTCATAAAAATAACAACAACAGACAGGCTCAACAATATGTAGATCATATCTTCTTTCAATCTCACTGAGAACCAGGTCAGCTTTTTGTATTTCTTGAACACAGTATAAGATTGAGGCTAGTTTCAGTTTATTTGATGCAACATCTGTATTCAGACCAAGTGAGATGAGTTTGAGGGCATCTGCTGATACAGTGTTGTGCTGATAGATGTTGAGTGAAGCCAGTACAGATCCAAGTGTTGTACAATACCATGGTGTCGTAAGATGACTGGCTGTCTTATCAAGACCTTCATATTTACAGTTAACTGTCTTTGATAAATATTTCTTGAATATTTCTACAGTTTTATTAGGACTACTGTCCTTAAGATGATTGTAAATAAGTACCAGTTTCCCAGATATAGCTAAAGCCATATCCACAAATAGTAATCCTGAAATGAAATCACTTGTCTTAATTCGACAGAAGTTATAAAACTTGTCATGAAGCTTGGAGCCAAGATGATCACATTTAATCCCAAGAAGTGCCACTCCTTCACTGAAGATGATATTGTTGAGTATTTCCAGGATATATGGTTTGACTGCAGGTGAAATCTTTCCCCTCATTAAATTGTTCCCAGGTATGATAAAATGTGGACAATGTTCATTAATGATATTATTGTACAGGAGATATAAACAGAGTGATAGACAAGAAAGTAAGTTATTTTCTCTCCAGATTTTAGAACCTGTTTTGGAAATACAGTGGAAGAGTACAGTTTTACACATAAAACTTGTAATAACATCTTTATAGAATGGATTAATAAATGTTTTTAAAATGATTTTCATCAACACATAACAGCGAATCTGTGTAATATTCAGGTTGAAAATTAAACATCTTTCAGCTAAAGATGTTGATATTCTCCATTCAAGTTGCTCATTTTCACTGCCACTACATCCAATACAAACGACAAAGCATCCAGTTCTGCTGCAATATTGTTTCATTCCAGCAGAAGGCCACTGACCTTCACCTTGTTGATCCAACCATCGTCTAGCTTGTTGCGGCCATGTTGTACAATGTAGAGCAAACACATGATCTATATCAGAGTAGCCTTGTTGTCCTATTCTGGTTTGTGCTGGCCCATGTACTTCTAAACCGTCTATTTTTGATATAGATACTATAGAATTTTTATAAAGTAATCTTCCATGTCTATCCTTGAACAAGAATTGGTCAGATTCACCATCAGCAGGAAGAGGAGCATCAGATCTCAGACATTGAAGTAAACAATATCCAGGAGATACAGAATCATCTTGAATCATCAAACAATTATGTAAACCAGGTATCCAGTCACTCCAGTCTTGTATTACAGGGATTTCTTTATAGCATATAAGTTGATCTATGTCTGAATTCATTCCAATTGTTGTTGTACATTCTGATCTGCTTCCAAAAAAGAATGTTAATTTATCAATTTCATCAAGTAGTTGGTCATTTATATTTGTTATTGATTCAAACAGAAGCCATGTTCTTCTCGTTTTCATCACTATTCTCTCATTAACACCTATATCAGCCAGAACCTCTGATAGCTTCATTGACACAGTCTGTGTGTAATTTGGTACTTGATACATTCTGAAAATATCATTAATGTTCTAAAATAATATAAAGTTTAATATATTTAATTTCTTCACTTCCTCTCTGATCCGAGATCACCCCAATCAGATCATTATTGTTTATTCATTAATTATTCATTATTCATTTCTTTTTTTGGTTAAATTGTCAAATTTTCCTTCATAAAAAATTGATTTAAGATAAGTTTTTATCATCAATTTTTATGTTGCAAGAAAAGTATTTATATTTTTTTTAAGATTATTAATTTTTTATTTTGTAAAAATTGATTGACACGGTTTATTTTTATATAACCTATGAAATTGAAATCAAATTCTTCATAGTGTAGAATAAAAATTAAATCATTACCTGTTTGCTTATATCTGCAGCAGATTAAAGATCATGATATAGATTTTCAATATTTTAAAGAAAACACAAAATATTTCAGAAATTTCCCAGTTGCTAACATGGGTATTTATTTTTAACTGTTTATTTTTAACTTCCTCTTTAAGAAGATAACTCTGTTGAGCAGTTATTTCAAATCTGACATTTGTTGTCTCCCTTTGTTGAAAAAATATTCAGCAACTGTACTAGATTCGTGCTTCATGTATGTTAAAGGGACTCCACTGAGTTTTTTGTTATGTCAGGAAAGGGAATAATTGTTCAAGATTAATGTTCCATTTGATGTACTGGTTTAGACCATTAAGTTCTGTACCAAATATCAGATCATTGGCTCCAGAATTAGGGAATAATTATTCTAACTCTGAAAAATGACCCAAAATTGTTACCAGTGACGTTCCTGCGCTTTTTCACTCAAATCGACATTTGCACACAAATGCATCAGTTTGAAGAAAAAGTTTATTCCGCTTTGTATGACAAAGTCTGTTTTATTTATACTAAAACTTGTTCTGTTAGTCCATACCTTCAGGTATTCTGATACAGGATTCCTCCATTCTTAATACAAGAGGGCCATGATGGCCCTTAACCGCTCACCTGAGACAGAATACTTGTTAATTTGGGTTTTCCAAAAGAAGAGTTTTTTTTTTACTATGTGCATATAAGGAAAATCAATGACCCCCTTGGACAGCGGCAAATTCAGACCCAAGGGGTGCGTTTCACTAACATACTTACATTATCGTAACTCGAGTTTGCATGTAACTTTTTGCGTAAGCAGAATTTATGTATTTATTTGTGTTTCAATAAACTTTTTTAGCTACATATTTGCGTAAGTTTGAAAGTAAAGTTACGCTCACCTATTGGTGGTGTAAATTGCATGTTTTGTTCAGTGCAATGCAACTAATGTAGATTTACATTTTGCGCAAGTCCAAATTTACGTAAAAAGATACGCAAAACTTACGGAATGTTAGTGAAACGTCGCCAGGGCTTTTATTTGAACAAACTTGGTAGACACTCACTAAATATATTTTATGCTTAATATCTAAGCTCTACATGTCTTAAAAAGCTATCTGGTCCTTTTACAATAAAATATTTGTATCATAAAGAAAATGGTGATTATTAATAGTTTTGACAAAAAATACTTGTATCAGGACATCAGTTTGGTTTTCTGTTTTTTAAATTTAATTTATATAATACAATATATTTGTTGTTCCAAGTAATTCTGAAAAAATTCTGAAAAAAATGCTTCATGTAATAAACAACACATATTACAGTTCACTGTAAATACATATTGAGTTCTTTAACAGAATGATTTTGTTTTATAATAAGAACGAATAAAGTGAAACACAAATCTTATTTTAAATACACACAGACAATTATTATACATCTTTATTTGAATGTCAAAATAGTAACTCCTTAACAAACGTTTTAAAGCTACATAAAACAAATATGTTATGTAATGGCACTGTGTAAGTTCTCTGACATCATAAATACAATCATGTCATATCCAAAAACAGAAATAAAAATGTCTCTCACAATTACTGTATCTTGTTTCGATTTAAATGCATACCATTAAACTTGGCAATCTTGTATTACACAATATAATCACAGGAACTTGAAATTGTATCAATATTAATGATAATATCCAAAATATACCCCCTAAACAGTTTATTTATAAGATATAGGGGGTATATTTGGATATTATCATTTAAATTGGTTATAATTATTTGGTAGAATTTCAAGTTCCTGTGATATAACTTTGATATTCTTTATTTAAGAATTCTGATTAAATTTCACCCATCACCCTAAAACGCACACATAAATTTATTGTTTTGATGATATCTAAGTCAAGTTCGAAGATGGGTCATGTCCGGTCAAAAACTAGGTCACAGGAGCTAAAAATAGAAAAAGCTTGTTAACACTCTAGTGGCTGCAGTTTTCATCCAAATATTCTGGAAATTTGTCAGGAAAGTTGTTTTGATAATTTCTAGGTCAAGTTCGAAAATGGGTCATCTCCAGTCAAAAACTAGGCCACAGGAGCTAAAAATAGAAAAATCTTTTAAACACTCTAGTGGCTGCAGTTTTGATCCAAATTACCTGGAAATTGGTCAGGAAGGTTGTTTTGATGATTTCTAGGTCAAGTTTGAATATAGGTCTTCTCTGGTCAAAAATTAGGTCACATTGCCCAAATATGGAAAAACCTTTTTAACACACTAGAGGTCACATGTTTGACTCAGTTGTCATCAAACTTGGCCAGGATGCTTGTCTAAGACAATTTGCTTGGATGCGGTTGATGGGTCAGGGGAGCAATCCAGGGCCATCATGGCCCTCTTGTTTATAATGGAGTGCTGTCTGAGTTAGTTGGGAAAGTGTTTACCCGTTGCCAATTTCTAAAAAGCCAGTCCTAGAAGCAGCACAACATAATGATTCAACATCTGATTCAGACACTGTTGCAAGCAGCAACTCACAGGATTCCATGCCATCTTCAAGATGTCAAGATGTCTTCACTTAAGTCAAGTGATAATAATTCAATGACAAGTAATGAAATCCGTACTGTGTTTGTGAGCAAGTGGAATTTGGTAGAAGAATGGTCGCTTGCGACAATATTGAGTGCCCAGGCGAATGGTTTCACTATGGTTGTGTCAATCTAGAAAACGCACCTGAAGGGAAATGGTATTCTCCTGACTGTAGGAAATTGCCAGCTTTTAAGCGGAAAGGTACGGTGGCACAAAGGTGACATGTGTGTGTTTTTATTTATCTCGTGGCCACGAGATAGTATGTCGTGGCCACAAGTTACTAAGTCGTGGCCACGAGATAGCTAACTCGTGGCCACAAGATACTAAATCGTGGCCACGAGATAGCTAAGTCGTGGCCACGAGATACTATGTTATAATGTGGCCACGAGTTACTAAGTCGTGGCCACGAGATAGTTAAGATACTATGTCGTGGCCACGAGTTACTATATTGTGGGAACGAGATAGCTAAGTCGTGGCCACGAGATAATTAACCAATCAGAATACACTATTTATATTATGAATTTTTTAAACTTAACAACTTACTTTTACATGCAACATTAATCTTCGAAAATACTGAAGCTATTCACTTTGAACTTGTCTTTAGGGTCATTTTAGAAAGTCACCTTTTGACTATAGCTCTTTGTTGGGACAATTTTGTTATAGAATTGGTCAGTCTGTACGTACTACGGCCTGTAAACCTTGTTTATACGATAACATGAGAAGGAATAAGTCGTTATTTATTTTATTTGTAAGGGACATTGCCCATGGACAGTAGATAGCCTATAAGGTAAAATATTAGGAGGGAAAAGCCATGGTTTATATAACCTAGAAAGATCATTGCACCTGATCAGTAGATGACATCTAATACTTTCGAAGTCATTGGGTTAAAGATCAGGGTCACAGTGACGCTAAATGTAAAATTAGGGACAAGTCAATAAGTTGTATAAATGGCACTTTTACAGGCTGGTGAAGTAGGGGTATCATTGTACTACAGCACCTGTCTAGTTAATAAGGGAAAGTAACATAAATGGTGAAATCTGATTGGTTATTTATCTTGTGGCCATGACTTAGCTATCTCGTGGCCACGACAAAGTATCTCGTGGCCACGAGTTAGCTAATTCGTGGCCACGACTTAGTAACTCGTGGCCACGACTTAGCTATCTAGTGGCCACGACTTAGTAACTCGTGGCCACGACTTAGTATCTCGTGGCCAGGACTTAGCTATCTTGTGGCCATGACTTAGTAACTCGTGGTCACGACTTAGTATCTCGTGGCCACAACTTAGCTATCTCGTGGCCACAACTTAGTAACGCGTGGCCACGACTTTATAGCTATCTCGTGGCCACGACTTAGTAACTCGTTGCCACGACTTAGTAACTGGTGGCCACAACTTAGCTATCTCGTGGCCACGACTTAGTAACTTGTGGCCACGACATAGTATCTTGTGGCCACGGCTAAGCTATCTCGTGGCCACTACTTAGTAACTCGTGGCCACGACATAGTATCTCGTGGCCACGACTTAGCTATCTCGTTGCCATGACTTAGTTACTTGTGGCCATGACAGTATCTCGTGGCCACGAGATAAATAAAAACACACACATGTCACATTTGTGCCACGGTAGAAACGTTCAATTCGAAACTGACCTTGTATTTTGAATAATGTTGTGATTCAAGGAGTGTTGTTTAAACAGTCATAAAATGATTGGTCAATTAAATACTAAACTTGCCTTCAGGGCTTCTAAGATTTCAAATCAGCTATAAACCCATGACTTCATGAGCATTTTGTGAAAAATGGCAGTTTTCATTGAAAAGTCTCCCGTTACAAGTTCAAATTGCTACAATACTCTAAAACTGCTTCAACACTAATCAAACTTGGCACAAATGTTTACTGGACCATTGCCCTTGCAACAACATGCTCAGGCTTAAATTTTCTGTTACCATGGCAACGAGGGGACATCTCAAAATTGCCAAAAATCACTTTTTTGCGTTGATTTTTTCCATCAAAATTGATTTCAAAGTGCTGCAACTTCTCAATGGATTGAGATAGAGTCAAATGCTTTTCAGCGTTGGTTACAGATTACCTTATGATCAATCTGGAGTCATTTATAGCCTCTCACAAGTCCAAACTTTTCTTGGCGATGGGGGGGACC